CTCTCTCTCTCTCTCTCTCTCTCTTACGCACACACGCAACATACATGCACAGAGACGCACATACACACACATGGACACATACCCTGGCCCCCGGCTAAATTCTAGTCAGGGGCTGTTGTGAAAAATGCCTCCGGTCACTCAGCACTTCGATCAACAGACCAGCGCGAGGAATCGTTAAGGCGGCAACCGGATTATGGATGAATGCGCTTGTGAAGAGCGCCGGGCGCCTCCAAATTGGCTCTCACCGTTCAGCTCCGCGAGTTCCCGAGCGCACGTGCAATTCACACAAGCATCTGATCGGTGCCACTGAACCAGTTGCCCGCACACTCGTACCAATCGCATTACTCTTTTTGCTGTCGCCCAGTGCCGCACTGTGTCGCACCAATTTAATAGCCTGATGAAGGTCCCTGTTTCGATCTGATCGAGCAGACGGCGCAAGTGGAGATGACGTCCCCTCGCGCCATAGCTATTCCCACGAGGAGATACAGTAAGTTCCACACCTACCCAACTTCTTAATGCGAATTCCACCAATACCCCACCACCACCTTCCCTGTAACACAGAACCAGTTCCTCTGCCTCTTGATAGACAGAAAAAAGAGGCAGTCCTCTGTTCCTCCCTCCAGCACCGTGAAGATCTCCTAAGCCGCAGCTCGTCGTCACCAAGGAGATCAACTCGTCCTTCGTCGGCTTCCACACCTGGGCCAAGGTCCCACTTGCACGGATTAAGAGATGCTGGCCGTTGATCTTTGTTATCTACGGTCAATATCGCTTAGTTCGTGTAAGTGGGACCTAGCCCCTGGTAAACAACCAATGTGACACAACCAATGTGACAGATTGCGCGCCAGGCAACAACAGTCAGTCAGTGCCCCGCGCTTTGTAACATAAACCTCCACACACCCACGACGTGACTGTCACGATCACGATCGTGGCAAATAGATATCGAATCGTATGGCTGGTGCTGGACTTCAATCGCCCCGGCCCGGATACGCAATCCTCCACACTTCGCGCCAGGGATGGACGGAAGTGTGTCTAAACATCTTTGTCGCGACGCTGCGCTGCTTCCTTCTGCTCTCGTCTAGCAAAACCCTTCGTTTTCAGAAAACCCCTCGTTTAACAAAACCCCGCTTGGCGCGCGCTTGGGCTATTACAGTATGTGCTCATCACCGTTCTCTCGTTCATGACCTCATCGACAGCCCGTGCCATGGCGGGGACCGATTTCAAACGCCGACACAATCGCGATCCCAACGGTTCTAAGGAAACACGTGGAGTTTTCGACCCAAAAAATGGTTACGGTAGTAAGGTAAAAGAAACAGAAGTTGAAAGAAGAATATAGAGAAAAAAAAAAAAAAAAAAAAGAATTCGCAACCGAAAGCTCGCACGTGCTCACGTGCGCACATGCTCGACAAGCTTTTAGAGAAGAAAGGGCGCCTTGTCGTCGACGGCCGGGGGGGGGGCGGAAGGCAAAAGACGAAAAAGAGACGAAAGGCGCGCCCTTGCAAAAGGAAGCGCGAAATGGGAGGAAAGAAGAATGCCGCGCGCACAAGTTCGAGCTGGCAGGCGCAGAACAGGCGGCGCGGGAGGTTCCTGCTAGAGCAACGGCGAGCGGGGGGATTGAAATTTTGAAGAATTCCTTTTCAAATTTTGCGCGCGGGGATTGAAATTTCGAAGAACCCCGGGCCTCCGCCCACTCTGAGGCGGGAGGGTGGACCATGACGGATATCGGAGACCAGGGCCAAGGTCCCACTTGCGCCGATCAGGAGATTTCGGCCGTTGATCTTTGCTATCTACGGTCATTATCTCTTAATTCGTGCAAGTGGGACCTTGCCCCAGGGCCGAGGTCCCACTAGCAAAGTGGATCGGATCGAATGCCTGAATCTGGATGTGTTTTATGCAGAGGTGCAGAAAAGCAGTTCAATCTCGATTTCCTGCACCTCTCCACAACACAAGTCCACATTCAGGCATTCGATCCGATCCTCTTTGCTAGTGGGACCACGCCCCAGGGTGTGCCAAACTTGGGTTGCTCCTGTGCTGCCTTGCCCGTGTTTCCACTGTCCCGGGTGGTGTTGTACCGAGGCCTCTGATCGACAATTGTTACGAGAGCCATGGGTTTTCGGTTTGCTTTGGTCGAACAATGTCACGGAGAGAGAGCGGAGGGAGACCAACATCGGGGTAAAAAGTACCATTTCGGATTCTGTTCGTTAGTTGTTCTCTCTCCATTCCCAGACTGGTCGCTATGACCATGAAGGCAATCTTACTCTGTCGAATGGTAGGTCGGGCAAACAAGGTAGCGTTGGCATGGTACTCATGTTTGCATGGCAGTGACCAATATAGCACAAAAGGTCTTGGGGCTGACATGGAGAAGGCAGCTTGGAGCTGATGTTGCTGAAGTGGGCTTTGTTGACATAGCAGGAGAGAGCTTGGTGGCCATGTTGCAAAAGAGGGCTAGGAATTGAGAACCTGCAAGATTGTCATTGCATCAATGCCTCTCCATCTCTGCTTGAGACGGAATGTACTGCAGCATTTGTGCAGCCTTGGTGTCATGATTCGAAACACATGCTATGTTTCCACAAATTGATTGAAAAGTAGGTCCATGTAATTGATCGAGCAATTACAAGGAGGTGGGCTGGTGTGATTGGGGAAAGGAGGATGATATCTTTGGAAACATACATGTAAGAGTAAATTTTGTGGCAAAATTGCTCAAGGGTCTTTCATCCCACCTTACTGGATACTTGCAATGTGAGGCACACAATTAGCTTACCTTCATTATAGTCGTGGGGAAGACCAATGGTGGAGCAGAATGCCACTTTCATGAGGCGCTTCTCTCTTTGATCAACAGAAGAAGCACTGATAATGATCAACTGTGGATAGAAGGGAATAGGATTTCAAGATGCAGTCACTTTTGTGACATAAGAAACTATCAAATGCACTCAGGTCTGAATTATTTAATTGTTTTGTGGATTAGTATTCACAAATAATATAATGGTCCTGTGTAGCACACCGAACATGTTCGGAGCTTTTCCGAGCGTTCGAACATGTTCGGTTGTTCGGCCGAACATCACCCGATTGTGTTCGCCCAAACATATTTATAAAAAAAAAAAAAAAAACATTTTTTTTATTTTTTATTTTTAACTCGAGTTTGGTTACGAATTTGAGCATACCTCCAAGGCAAAAATTGTTTGTATTATTATTTTACATAAGATGTATTTGTTTCAGATTTTTTGGAGAACTTTTTTTTTATGCTTGAGTTCAAAGAGTTGGCAGCGCTCGTTCGCGTTCGGTCCCGAACGTTCGGGTTCGGTCACCGAACCCGAAAACAATGCTACACAGTAATGGTCATTTGAACAAAATAAAATTTTAATAGCACCGGGCGAAAAAAAAAAATGACAAAACAAATCTATCAAATGAATGGTTGTATTTAAAGTACATGATGGCATATACTTCCATGGGCTCAAGGCATTGAGCTAACGTGAAAGTGGTCACCTCCTCTCTCACAAAAAAGGCTACTTTAAGTACCACCTCGCACATGTAACAATGCTTATCTTGCCAAAACTTCATTTCAACCATTGGTGCCCTCCCTCTCGTGAAGGCACCATTTTGAAGAATGTTGCACCACCCTGTTGTCATGTGAGTGACAATATCTACCATTGAGGAAATTATATCACCTTACCAGCCTATGAGTCGTAGCACAAGCCTTCAAGACAGGTGCACCACCCCATCAATGCTCCAAACTATCACTCTTCTCATTAAGAGGGTTAAATTGTACCTCTAGTCAACCTTTTTTTTCTCCTCTCAATTATAATACATGTTTTTTTTTTCGGTTAATTGAAAAAAAAAAAGTGAAAAAGGCACAAAAGAAAACAAATTTAACCCTTCATGTTTTTAAGTCCTATCATACTTTATTATCGACCACAAAAAAAATCATGGTACATTTTTTTCTCTTTTATTCCTTCACATCACGACCCCTATCATATTTTATTCTCGACCGCGTTCAAAATAGGTTCCCTCTTTTATAATGAGTGTGAAATGCATCAAATCATTAATTTTAGAATTTTCATGAAAATAACATACATTTATATTTTGCGTATACATTTTGTATTATAATTGTATGTTGTATACTGAAAATTGTGGGGGGGCGGGGGCGGGGGCGGGGGCGGGGGCGGGGGCGGGGGCGGGGGGGGAAGAGGAGGATAGATTAGTAGAAACACGAGGCACGAGAGAGGAAGAGAGAGGACGATGATAGAGGGATAGAGATATGTCCGTAAGTTTAACCTTACTAGTTCGAAGGATAGAGCTAAATCAGATATGAGTACAACAACTCATCTTACGCAAGTACAAAAATCACCATCAGGTTTTAAAATAAAGGTGACCGCATCTCTACATCACCTCATTTTTTAGTCCATAGCAGTCCCTCATGCCTATCCCGATAAAAAATAGTGAACCACTGTAATGATACAAATGTGTGGTTTACACATAGATTGATACCAAGCGGTGTGGGGGTCGTATACAATCTTGAAAGCAAAAGGGAACCGTTGTATCATTATTCCTATTAAATATTCACGGCGGGTTGCAGATACCTAGAGATGACCCTGGGCCAATAAACTACAAGGGGAAATGAGATAAGAGGACATGAATGAAAACTTTCTAAGTGATAACTGGGTCAGTAGGAAGTAGGAGCTCTTGAAGTAGGAAGAGTGACTTATGCAGCCCCAAGGGAAAAACAGTATTTCAGGCTGGGAACTAATATGGCCATAATCCCAACAAACGCTATGCTCAGATAATGTATATAAGGGACATTGGACCCTGTTTCCAACAAGTGACACTCCCCACCAGTAAAAGGAGCAACTCGACAGAAAAATCCTCAGTTCCGGTGGTTTTTTTATCGCACGGAAATAAAGGTCTAACGCAAGGGTTTAAAAAAATAAAAATAAAAAAAATTATGATGCAATCATGTTTTCAGTTTTAAATGCAATTCGATCATCCCTCAAATACAACACATCCCCATCCAACCCTAAAGTTGGGTTGTATACATTCATGATTTTTCTCACTTTCAAGCAACATTCACAAAATTGTGATTGAAACGCATTTAAAATTTAAAATTGTGATTGCGCCCTAATCCTTCGCCCCCCCCCCAAAAAAACGATAAGCCAAAATGTTATTTTTTTTAAACGTTTCGTTATTCATACCATAGGATCGTTTGGGGCAGTTGGAGGTATTGCCTACTACGTGGGAGTGGGGACGCAACCCTAACGAATTACTTTTCTTTGTTTTTTTTTTTTAAAGCTAAGCAGGAAAGAGAGAAAGAGAGAGAGAAGAAGTGGCTAGTATGTTCGCTTTCGGTGCAGTCTTTGTGGTGCAAACATAGACACTTGAACCCAACATACAGCAGCCTTGACGTTGTGAATTGTGGGCCGGAAGCAATAGAGCTAAGTGCGCGCCCAATAAAAAATGAGAGAGAGAGAGAGAGAGGGGGAGAAAGAGAGAAAAAAAAAGAAAAAAGAAAAAAAAAAAAGGATGAATTGTAACAATGGAACATGACTCAAATTATCATTGTCGTCTCTTTCGCGGTTGCAATAATTTTTATAGATTTATTTCATATTTTTCTTAAAACGATCACAATAAAATCTGCAAACACTTCAATTTTTGGTTTTTCTCACTAATTTCTCTAAGTGCAAAAAATCAATGAAGTAGGAATACGTTTTTTTGTTGCCCCGCACATGGTTGTGTGTCAAAATTGGAAAATGCACTAAATATGTGCGACCAGTATTTTGCGGTCTTAATAATTTAAAAAAAACACATCTTATATTTTTTTTATAGAAACCACAACCTGATCTATGAATTCCCAACTTTTAAGATTTATTTGCGAAATCAACTAGGCAGAAAAAATCGGCAAAGTTATCGCTTGCAAGTTAACTTTGAGTGGAACTTCTGACAATGGCTCCCCTTTTTTGGGGGGAAGGGGGGGGTCCGCTTCCATCTGACCACCGATTGTTTTTTTTTTTTTCAAAATTTTGAGTTCAATAAGAGTTAGTCGTAAGTCAGTCGCAATATCGCCAAAAAACAATCCTCCTTAAATTTTTAACCTTCAAGAGTTCGCTTGTGCGTTGCTCGCTCGCCGTCGAAAATACGCCACATACATACACTAAAGTCCACTATACCACAACCGTAAGTACATAACAAAACTCTCTAATATTTTGAATTCCATAAGCACTCCACTATCTGTCGGTCCGAACTAGCATTACAAAGTAAAAACTTTCTAATATTTTAAACTAAAAAAAAAAAAACACTAGCTTTCGACTTAAGTACATATATGACCCTCCAACAATTTTTTCACCCAATTGATTATCATGCATGTTATAACTTTAAGCACATGTTAACCCAAACATTTTTGGATAGTAATTATGAACAAAAAAATAAAGCTTGTAAGTATATGTTTGTACGTTATCATTTTTTCCCCCCATATATTTTCATTTGATTACTATATTATAATATTATTTCATATATAGTTGTAGAATGTTAAAAAAAAAAAAATGATGAATTGAGAAGGATCAAGAGGTGAAAAAAATAAGTTTTTTCCAATGTAAGGAAAAAAATGATGATGGAGAGGAAGATAACAGTTATAAGACTATAGAGTACAAGGGGTTGTTGTCGTAAGTTTTACCTTTGCATATTTAAGAGGATATTATTTATAAAACAAAAAAATAAAATATGTTTTTATCATATATCTTGATTTTCTAAACTTCTCAACACCTCTTTCAAAGCACCGCAACTCCTGTTGTCTTATATTCGGGGGGGGACGGTTAACACAGGTATATGAGGGTTATCGGTAACACGGTGAAAAAAATCGACGGAGTGAAAAAAATAAAAAATGCGTCAAATTGCCGCCTCAATATATTTCATGGTGAAAATTATTTTTCTTACGAAAATTGTTATCTTTTATAAAACAACCACCAACCAAATCTACCGACCTACAAATTTTTAAATTTTTTTAATAAAGTTTTATGAGCGCAAAAATTACGAAACTTGTGATAATTTTTTCGTTGGTCTGCGCGTGGTAGAGTGACGAAAATGAAAATCGACCTACAAATTTTCAAAATTTTTTAATAAAGTTTTATGAGCGCAAAAATTACGAAAGTTGTGATACTTTTTTCGTTGGTCTGCACGTGGTAGAGTGACAAAAATGAAAACTACAATGAATTGCTACGATATTTATTTCAAGTTTTTTTTTTTTTCTTATATTTTTTTGGGAATATTACATTCTACAACGCATGATCTCCAAATTTTCGATTTTTTTCATCAATTGTTCTGAGTGTAAATAAATCACTAACTTTGACGCTTAGAATTTTTAGGAATGGATTTGCTTATGTCTGTCGATCGCCAACCTATCATAAAAACCGCTCCGTGTAGCTAGGGAAGTCGAATTTTCAACATCGGGGGTAGTAGTGGTTAAAACGTTTCAAACTATACTTCAGTTTTGATCTATCGTTATCATTAATAATTTTTGTTGGATAAAACTAACATTTTCATTAAAAGGAGTGAAAACCAGCTAGGGCCATACAATCTCACCTTTACGATATAGTTTGACCAGATAGTAAGTGACTCATATGCTTTACCAACCATGTTCATTATGACTCATATGCTTTACAAATATTTTATGATACACTATTAACAAACAAATCTTTATGCTTAAGTACGCTGAAATGATTAAGTAGTGTTATGAATGAATCACTATGTAACCATAACAAGTTTTTCATTCGAAAGTCGGAATGGGTATAGAGCTGCATTGACAAAAAAATAAACTGTCTGTATTTTGCCCAACTATCAAAGTCGAACCTTTGAGCCATCTGCGCTCTAAGTTTTGACAAACCGTCAGTACGACGTTTTATTTTCATTTTG